CATATGTACGGACTACTTGAAGGCCAAAATATATACTATTCGGGTATATGGTATATATATATATATATTATATTTACATGGACTACTTTAAGGCCAAAGTATATACTATTTGGGTACATGGACCCTTCGGGTCCATTAAATCCTGGAGTTCCCAATCGCCCTAAACCCAAAACCCCCAAGCCCTCAACCCTGAGGCCTACGAAACCCAAAACTCTAGACTCTAAACCCCGAAAAAAACCCTAGAACCTAAACCCTGAAACCCCCAGAACCCCTACATTTTGGGTTCTCTATAATAGCCTTAACCCTACAAGCCCCTTCAAACGCCCGGAACCCCTGCGACCTATATAAGCCCTAAACAACTCCAAGGGCTCGCAGAACCGGGAAAACCCTAAACCCCATGAAACAGAGCCCCAAAACCTCCCAGAATCCCTAGAGCGATGTTAGGGAATAGGGCTGTGAACCAGAGCCTCAAAACCTCCTAGAATCCCTAGAGCGATGTTAGAGTTTCAGGGCTTAGGGCTATGAAACGGAGCCTCAAAACCTCCTAGACTCCCTAGAGCGATGTTAAGTTTTTCCGGGTTTATGGCTATGAAACAGAGCTTCAAAAACCTCTTAGAATCCCTAGAGCGATGTTAGAGGTTTCGGGCTTGGGGCTATGAAACAGAGCCTCAAAGCCTACCTCCTAGAATCCCTAGAGCGATGTTGGAGTTTTAGGGCTTAGGGCTGTGAAACAGACCCTCAAAGCCCAAACCCTAAACCCTAAACCGCTAAACCCTGAACCGCTAAACCCTAAACCCTAAACTCCACCCTGCTTCGACCAGGTATGTCATCGTGTTTAACTGCTCCGACGGCCTGGACTACAAGTCTCCTGGGGCACTGAGGTTTCGTTTTAACGGGCCTGGGGGAGGGTTTAGGGGTTTAGGGTTTAGGGGTTTAGGGTTTTTGGGTTTAGGGTTTAGGGGTTGGGGTTTAGGGTTTAGGGGTTTAGGGTTTATAGTGTAACTGTGTTTTTCTTTCAAGTCCCTAAGGGCCGATGTAGCAAAATAGTAGACGCTTTGGCTTTCAAGTAGTCCCTATATGGGTACGTTGACTCAGGTCGCTCGGGCGCATGTTCAGTGGCCTGGCGCAGTGTTCTGGCTGCAATTCCCGAAGTCGGAAGAGAGCGTGTCTACACTGTTTTGGAGGTCCTGCATTGTGGTGTTGTAGGATTGGATTTTCAATGTGTAACGCATGCATACCCCAACCCACACCAAAGCCCTAAAGCCAATGACCCTATGCCGTCTGCCCTTAAATGTAGCCCTAAACCCTAAACCCTAAGTACCTTCTGTTGGTTACCTGTTTCGCCGAGGTTCCGGGCTTCAGGCATTGTTAGCTTCGCGGGCTTTGGGGGTTAGGACTGCCTCGCTTTAGGGTCTAGGGTTTAGGGTTTAGGGTTCAAAGTTTAGGGTTTAAGGGTTTAAGGGTTTTTGTTGAATGGCCTCGACGCTAGCAGCAGGCACCAAGATCATGTCCAATGCTACCCATAGAGCTCCTTGTTATCATCACAGTAACTTAGGAGCCCAGTAGGTAAACTTTAAACTTTTTGGTATATTAAACCCCCTACTAAAAGAATTGTTTAAGCTTTTTTGGGCCAGGGTACTGGGCTTCAAGGAGTATAACATACTTCCATTTTCTTG